TGTTGCAATGATGTGCTCATTGCTGTGGGGGGTGCCCCTCTGCACCCTTTCCTTCGCGCTCTGTGATGGGGCCGCTGGCTCTCGGGTGAGGTGTCGCGCCAATCGTGCCGTATATCATCTCTTAGTTCGAGCAGTGCAATCCTCATCTTGGCTCTGTGCCTACCTCTTGACGCTGTTTTGGACTTCTAGCCTCTTTTGGCCTTTGCGCTTCTGGCCTCTGTCCCTGTTCTCCTGCGTCCGTGGGTGGCCCTTCGCTGCACACCAATTCGTGCCCAGTTACGCAGCTACGATTTTGATCATACCTTGCTGTTTGGGAAAAATGATTGCGCTCTTCCCTCGCAGCTATGTCTTTCGGTCTGGCCGGATCTTCGACTCCACCTTAGGCTACCTAGGGGAAGGCCCCGACCGTTCGTGGACCATCCTCTCCTCCAATATTGGTAGCTTCATCAAAGACAATACTTGGAAGGGTTGGACTGACGATGTCATTTGTTTACAAGAAACCCGAATCGGGTGGAACAACTTTCGTAATGCCACCAAATCCGCTGCCGCCTTTGGGAAGAACCTTATCTTAGGTGACTTACTTCCTGGCCTTTTTCGGTCCGATGGCTCCGGTTCCACGTCACATGGTGGTGTCGCTTTGAAGGGATCTTTCACTCCAAACGTGTTCAAGCCACTTGGTGTCAAGTTCTCCCCTCGCTTAAGATCTTGGTTTTCAACTTCTATGGTAAATCGGGGGCTTCGGCTTCACATGACATCCTCCAGTTCAACGATGAGCTCCTTCGTGATATTTTGCAGATTGCAAGTCAATTCGGGGATATCCCTGTCCTTGTTGTTGGTGATTTCCAACTTGCACCACTCCAATACCCTTCGGTCGCTTCTGCGGTGCACTTTGCTAATTGGTTTGATCCTCTCACCAGCTACCTTGAAGATGGCTCCCCTGATCGACCCATCACGTGCCACCTTTGACTGGCTGCCCATCTTCCAAGTTGGGCCAATCCATGTTAAATTTGCTGCCTTAGACACTTCACAAGTGGGTAAGCCCTCGTGCCCCCGCGATTATGAATGTCACCAGACCATGTGGGATGCTGCCCTGACCTCTCAATTCGATCGGCAACTGCCTGAAGAGTTATGGTTTGACATCAATCAACATGCGATTTCTGCCTTGGTCACTTTAGGTGCAACCTGGTCAAATGGAGTCCGTAAGCGTGCGGCCCCACCTGTCTTCCAATCCAAGCAATATTGTCCGGGCCAAATGCCCTCAGGGGCCGCAGTCTCCCTCCTCCATCTTTCCTGGTTACACAATGCTAGGGCCAAGGTCTTTGACATCCAAGCTAAGGTTGCCAAACCGTACCTCTCTGATAAGGAGTGTGACATTTTGCACAATGCCCGGATCAAACTGAACAGGCTGTTGTCTCGCTTGAAGGCCCCATTTCAGTTTCATTCCCAAAGCCGGTTGTCACTGGTCTCACTGCATGAATGCCACCTTTGGCTCCAGTGTCAGATTGAGAGGTGCGAGCATGACCTCAAATTCAAGCGCATCAACGCCTGGAAGGACAAAATTCGTGAGTCGGCCAAGTCTACTCGTGCTTATATTTTTCACCACCTCAAGAATAAAGCACAAGACCAGCCTAATAACTTGTTTACCAGCCAACTGATGCACTGAGTGCGATCAATGTGCAATGGGATAACATTGTTGCTGCCAATATTGGCCACGATGATCCTGTCGAAGTTCTCAAAGTGCTTTGGCCTTATCTCTCGAGAGAGAACCGCCCTTGGAACCCTCCGCCACTTACAGGGGCTGACATTTTTGCCACCCTAAAGGCTAGAAATGCACACGCCGCCCCCGGGCTCGACGGGTGGAGAACTACCGAACTCCAAGCCTTCCCCCTCGAAGTGTGTGAGCTTGTCGCGGCCTTTTTCCGAAGGCTTGAAGCCAATGTCGATCACTCGATTCCACTTGCCTTGACCACTGCTAAGATTGTGATCCTCAATAAGCCCGGCCCCTCCTCCCCACTCAATAAAAGGCTCATGACAATCTTGCCACCGCTGCTGTTAGCCTAGACGGGCTCTCGCTTTCGGCAAGCTAAGGACTGGCAAGCTTCCATCATGCCCCCGTCGGTTGTGGGGGGAATTGCAGGCAGACACATGACTGCTATCCCTGCCAAGCTCAGACTTGACCTTGATGAAGCTGCAGTCGCTGATGAAGCCATAGTGGGGATCAAGCTCGACAAGAGCAAGTGTTTCGACCGCATTGTCCCGGCTTTTGTTGCGATCATTTTGCTTGCACTCGGGTGCTCCAAGGCCGTTGTCAGCATTTTTGTTAGGCAATACACAGGTCTGCGAAAACATCTTTCGTATAGGGGTTGGACTTCTGGGAACTCCACTACCGCTCCGAATGGTGTTGCACAAGGCTGTTCATTCTCGTTGATTGCTATCAACGCCTATACATGAGATCGTGGGTAGCCTTTCTTCGTGATATTCCCCACCTTTCGTGCCGCATCTATATCGACGATATATATCTTTGGGCTAAAATCCAGTTCGTCGCTAACCTTAAGCTTGCGCTCGAAGTCACTAAGCTTTGGGATTCCCTTGTTGGTCAAAAACTTAACCAGGACAAATCAGTTGTTTGGGCTTCCAATGCCTCAGCCCGGAAGACTATCAAACATGAGTTTCCAGGTTTCTTACTTCAGGAGACTTTCGACGTTTTGGGAACCAAAATTTATACTTCTCAGCGGAATGCCTTCGATTTTTCTGACGAAAAGGCCCAAAAGATTTATGGTGACATTCGCAACATTGGAGCCCTGCCTCGCTTATTGGGTCCAAGGTCATTCCACAATGCTCGTTTGCTGCCCATATCACCAAGATCCCTAAGGCAGTCCTTGACAAGATTCAAGCTGAAATCACGCAAGCACTCTGGGGTCAGCGTCCGCACTGGAGAGCCAAGTACCTTGCTTTAGGTCTTCTTGCGCAGCCCCACAGAAATGACCCTTTTGTAGCCCGTTCTTTTTCTGCCATTTTGGGCTTTGTGCGGTTCCTTCAGTATGAGCATGATGCATTTGACCGTTGTTGTCAACTTGCACGCCTTCCTAAGGCAGGTAGACACTCCCTTGTTGGGAATATCCAGACTGCTTTTGCTGATTTCGGTCTTTGTCTGGATGACTCATTGTGCATCGGGCTTGGGAATGGCATCAAGATCTCTCTGCATGAGGTTTCAGTGCGTGACATTGCACCTGTTCTCAAGCATTTTGCTGTGCAGGTCCATTATTCGCACCCAGCAAATCTCAACCGTAAAGACTTCTACAAGCCGGAGGGATTCATAGATGTTTTCCGCACCAAGCTTTTCGACAGACAGGCTATTGTTCAACATGATCCCGGACCACCACCACTCCTGACTTATTTTGAAGCTCAACAGGTTGGCTGCACTATAACCAATGACCGCAGATTTGCTGCGAAATATGCAAAAAGGAGTCTCTTGTACACATTTTGAGCTGTCATGAAGCCCAGAGGCAATTTCAATTTGGGCCTTCACATGAATTTGGTTCCAACTTCCAGTAGCTTGGCATTATTGAACACCCATGGCCGGTGCTCTGGCACCGACTACGCATTGATCGTGCTGCTGATCTAGTCCTGCGACCCTTTGATTGCCCTGATGATATTCTTTCACTTTGGACAGATGGCTCTGTTTTCTGGGGCGAGTGTTTTCCGCTCACTGCTGCTGGCTTTGCTATCATCCAGGAAGATGGCAGTACCTTTGCGGCGGGGCCTGTGTCACATTTATCTCTATCTTCGTATTCCGCGGAACTTTGGGCAATTGTCGTTGCAACTGCCATGGCAAACTGCTGTCTTTGTATTTACAGTGATTGCCGTGAAGTCGTTACTAAAGTCAATGCCCTTGTTAAGGCCCACCATATACCTGGGAACTATGTACACTTGGAGTGGTGGCACTTCCTCCTTCACCTCATCAATGCTAGGAGCCTTCTATGCCAGGATGACATTCTTAGGATGGTTTGGATCCCGGCTCATGTCGATGACCACCTTCCTGTCTCGCTTATTTCAGCTGAAAGAATTGAACAGGTTGGGACTTCCCGTAAGCACATCGAACTCAACCGCCAAGCTGACAAGATTGCCAAACAGCATGCTCTTGCCCGTTGTGCAATTGCACCAGGTGACAAACACTTCTTTCATTCAGCTATTTTGCACCAACAGGAGGTCCTCACGCTCCTCAACAAGCATATTGGCTCAGAATGTTTGGATGATTTTAGCTCAGAGACACGGTCGGCAAAGCAGCATGAGCTTCAAGACCCTCCGAAGTGTTTCCCCGGACTGGAGTGGGATACAGAGGCAAGTGAATTTTCGCTCACTCTTAACTTCCCGGATGAGCCACCTCCACCGAAGGTGCTTTTTGGGGTGGAAGATTGGAATACTGTGTTGGCCTTTCTCCAATCTTTACACTGGAAAGTTCGCGATGGAGTTTTGTGTACGTATCAAGAGCTTGCCTTTCTGTTTTACAAAAGAGGTTTCCGGCTTCGAAATCGACCTTCTCACTTTCAAGACCTTGTGCTGCAACTTCGGAAGTGCATTGTCACGATCCAGAGAACGCCCTTTGCTCTCCCTGGGATTCCTACAGCCCGTGCTACAAAATGCATTGGGCGTGTCCTCCAACAGGGCGCTGTTGTGGGCGCACTTCCGTTTTTTGCTCAAAATGAGCTTCTTGCATTTTGCCGCATCCTCGCCGAGGGTGCTGGAAGGTCTGCTGAGACTTGGACTTTCCCTTTTGATCATCTTCTGTAGCTGCCCTTTAATTTGTGCAACTTGTTGTTCATCGATCAGTGTGTCGTGGACAGGACGTGTCACCCCAGGGATCGGACTCGTCAGCGCGTGAACAGAATAGACTACAAGGGAGGTCAACCTACCCTGGTAAAATGAGCTCCAGGCTACCCACAGTCATACATTACATGTCTCTTCCGTTTGATTTGCCGCATGGACTTGATGTAACCGTCCTCCAGCCTTGGCGTTCGCACCTGCGCCAAAGCAATTCGATCTGATTGATCGTGGTTTGCTCTGCTATCATGTCTTCCTTTTTATCCACCTACAATAATGTGGAACTCCCTATAGTCTTCGGTCTGTCTCAATTCGTCCTCATCCTTGTCGGTCATGAACAAAAAACAAGCTCGATCTTGTGTACGGGAAAGCCAACCACAAAGACTCTGGTCGCCAGCCGGAGTGTGCAGGTTATGCTCACACGTTCTCCACAGCTACTAAGCTGGTCATGATCTGAGTGAAGCCAACAAATGCTGAAGCAACAACAGTTGGCACAGCACGAGAGCAAAGAGAACTCGAGGGTGGTTTTAAGCCTACTGAAGTCTTCCCATTTTTTACAATGCCATGTGATGAAGGTTCTAATGTAATGACTATATCATGTCGGCTTTATTTTGCTTGTGCATATCAAGAACTGCATGAGGCAGCGCGGTGGCCCTCCAATTAAGGAACTTGCAAATCAGCATATCATCAGCAAGTGAGCCGTTAGAGGCTTTTCGAGAAAATGGTGGCGTATGTGGATATATAAGTGCAACAAAGCTAGTTAAACATATACATACAAGATCCCACTTCTTGGGAATTCCGTGTGTCACCCCTGGACTTGGAGAAAAAAACAAACATGTTCTGTCATTTGACACCCCTTTGGTGACCCGAATGGGCTGCCCCATCAGGTGCCTCCGGTACATCCGGTATTTCCGTCTCTGCTGGCTGGCTGGATGGAGCTTCCTGGCTGGCCGGATGGCTGAAACGCCATTCACCAGATGGCCATCGAAGCGTCGAAGGGTCGAAAAACCATTGACAAACCTTCCAGACAATGCACCTGGATTCATGACACCCAGTGGGCATTAGATGCACCTGATGCATGCATGCTTTTGAAGTAGTATGTCACCAACACCTATTAGTCATGCCATGCTTTGCATCTTAAAACTCGTTAAATAAAGTCACCAAGTCAAGATCTCCCCAGATTTCGACGGAGTATTAATATACCTCACCCAGGAGTAAAGGTTCGCATCTTGTGTAAATTTGTGTGATTGAAGAACTAAACGTAGCTCCTCATTCCGTTCTGAACCAAGGGGGGGCCGACCCAAAGATTTAGTCTAATCCTCATGGAATGCCTGTTTCCCAAACTTGATCGAAAACGTAACGGACTTGTTTGTTTCCAACATAATAAAAGAAAGGCACACAACCTGTTGAAACCAAGAGGAGCCATTGCCATTCTTGTTGCTATTCTGTTGCTATTCCAGGAACTGAAGTTTGCCATGGTTTTCCAGCAAATCACGCTGATCACTCTGACAACAAAACGAACAAATACATCTCAAACTGCTCAACTGACTCGGTCCGACCCCACCTCGGTGTGGAAAGGCACCGGCTGAGAGCGAGACAAAAGAGGTCTTGAGTTCATGCTGAGGTCTTGACTCACCTGTGCATGGAGCGAGGAGGTAAGGGCGGGACGTTTGGGAAGAGCCTTGGGCCAAGTCTGAGTAGAAGAGTGGCTTGCCCACGCGGCGACGTAAATCTGAAAGGGCAAATGCCGGAATATCTTTAAACATACTTGATCAATCAATATTCATCATAATCTCACAAGGCATGCATCTGCTGCAAGGGGGGTTGCGGGTTGCAAATCAAACTACATACCCATATCACTACAATCCTTGAAGGCAAAATCAAAAATCTTGCAACATCTGCTAGCGTGCAACGCATGTAGCCAAGCTGTGCGGGCTGACTGAAGCATATGCAACCGCCCCAGGATGAACAGAACATATTGCCATGCCTCGCCAGCACTTCTTTTGGGCAAACCACCCGGAGCAACATCGACCAAAGCCTGGCTGAGCACAGGTCGCGTGGTTCCGCCGCGGAGTTCCCATTGGTTCGAGGCCCAGCTTCGCTGAAAAAGGAGGTCCAAGAAGATGCCTCTGGCTGATTCTTATCTGTGAGCACACATACCACTAGAAGCCCTCGGATTGCAGTAGCTCTTGATTCTTGCCAAGCTGGCTGTGTAGCGATTGATATATATATATATATATGTATATTATATATATAGAGAGAGAGGCTCCAGGCAACTCAAAAATCAACCACACTCAATCTGAATCTGAGGATTCCGAAAGGTTTGACATCAGACTTATCTTGAGACCTACAAGTGCTGATGAATTATATCGTAAAAACCAGTCCCCAAACACTAGCTCCAATACCTATATAAGTCCACCCTTTAAAGTCTTGCAATGGTTACTTTTTCTCTGAAACGAACGCCAGCCCTGCTTTTGAGCTCAGCTCCCCCGGACCGTCCCCCGGGCCCATTTCGGGCTCCAGGCTGTGTCAGTCACAACATCCGGAGGCGAGGATTCGTCCTGGCGAGGATTCGTCACTCGCTGGCTGTGCAGCTGTCGAAATGGCCGGTTTCAGTGGCCCATCGGACAGCTCTGTCGCAGAATGAATTCCTCTGAACCAAGTGGTCCTGGTTGATTATATTATTAGCTGCCTTCACTTTGAGCCATCAAACTCTTGGATCCATCTTTTCCTGACATCTTCCTTCAGGTATGTGAGACGGTTTAAGCATGTTTAAGCACACCACCATCACGCTCCTCGCACTTGACCACGGCTCCAAGAGCGGTCCGCTTTTCCGCCTCAAAATTGTGCTCATCCAGAAGTGACCAACCGTTTTTCTGTCCCTTTTTGGCCCAAGGTTTGGGCGACAATCTATCGCGGTTCGACTTGACCCACAATTCCGGGTTTCTATTTTTCTATGCCTGCTTGTATTGCTCGGTCCGTGACGTACCAAAGAAACTGCCATCCGCCGAGACCTTCGCCTCGGTCCGGGGATCCCACGGTGCTTTGACCCGATCGTGCTCTGCTCGGCAGGGCCGAGGCTCGAGACGGGCGCCTGAGGCTGGTGCTTGCGCTGCGGGTCTTAAAGCTCTGTCAAACCCACCAGAACCGAGTAGTCATCCATGTGTTCTTGGTCAAAACCCTCGTACAGTAGTCATCCACCAGGTCATGTCGAAACCGGTCTCAGGCCCAAAATCGGTCTCGGGACTTGGTCGAACATTAGCGAACGGGTCGAAAAAAGCGGGCAAGTTTTGTCCGTGGTTCTTGACGCAAGTTTGGTGGTGAGGGATGTTTTCGGGGCATAGCCGTTTAGATATGTTGCATGTCTAAAAGGCCGCAATTTCATGACAATCCGAATGGGGATGATGGACGATTCTAGTAGTATGTGGTATGCACAGTGTATACACATAGTCACCCATGGTTTCTGGAGGAAATCTCACAAAAGGCAATGCCAAGAAACTGTCACTGTCAAAAGTCATTGAACATAAAAGATACTTTTGGCCACACTTAATACACAAGCTGCAATCTCATAAACATGCTCACGTTGAGGAGTGTCTATAGTCTATAAGTCGGCACCACATCGCCCCAAAATCACCAGCACCACATCGCCTGGACCACCCTTTTTGGTTCATCCTCCCTCCCGAAGGAGCCTCCACGCTCCTCCGCGCCTCCACGGAAACGTACGCCGGCTGAGCGAACTGGTGTTGCAATGCCGGTGTTCCGCCTCGGCCTGGCGATGCGTCGGTGGATTCCTTCGGTTCTTCGTGTGGTTCTTATGCGGTCACTTGAATCAACCAGCGAGGGTCCAGGGTGAATCCTTGGAAAACAACAACAACAAAAACAACACAACACATGTGGGGATAAGCATGGGTAAACTTTTGATATACTTTTGATATTCTTATGCACATGATCTTGGATTCAAAGCGAGGTGTAGAAACCTGTTATCATGTCGACTGCTTTAACATATATGGTTATACTGGCTTGGCCTCTGGATGTGCCTTTACCCGAGCTTTCCGAAGAATTAAATGTCCGCTCCAATGATTATGTTGCTTCTTTAATTATTCTTAGGAGCCATCTGAAAAGTACAAACTTGGACCTATATATCCCACCCGACCCCCGATCAATTTCCGACATGTAAGCGTGAAGACTTCCCGTCCGGCTGTAGATGTAGAATAATCGTATCACAGACCCCACAAAAGTTGACTCGTTGGACATCTCCCTTTGAAAACTCTCCCTCTGAGTAGGGGTTCCCACTAATTCCACCGATCCCTCGAAGACCTTCATTCCTGAAACAAACCCGGAATCCAATCATTTCCAAGGCCACTGTATATTTCTATTAGAACAAAACAGCTGCAGTCCCCTGGTGGCCTCCTTTTTCAGCCATAGCCAGGGTCCCCATCAAAACGAGTAATCTGTCGGACAACGCTGTCCTCAAGCTGCAGCAAACACAACACCAAGAAACTGTATCTCAAAACTTTTGAGATCAAATATATTGAAAACGATCATGATTTTCGCTTGCACAATACAACATACTGTCCCAACTTGGTAAGTTATTCAGTGTAAGTGTAAGGATATCTGATAGTTTTTACTGCTTAGTTGCCCAACCCTCCTCCCTCATGCCTCTCTACGAAGCCGGGGAAAAATCATACGCGCCGCCTGTGAAGGGTCTCAATCTGGAGCCCTACAAAATTAATCCTTCATCTGGGGCCTGGCTTCACTGGGACGGCTGGCAGATTCTCCACTGAATAAGATGTTCCAGCACTTGAATCGCACTCTTTTACATGAGATTTGTTTGGGTTTCCAACATCAGGAGAGAGGCGGTGAGACCACAGAGTGAGACCACAGAAAGTGAAAAGCACTACCGGAATCTTGTGTCTTGTCATTTCTGACTCGCGAGCGAAGCTGTTAAAGCTCTTTTCTAGCAGGCTAAAGCCTGCCGTGTTCCAAATGGATGGCACGAAAAGGAACGGCCAATGAAAGGAGAAGGAACAAAAACACCCCCAGGCTGGGTAGGAAAACATCCCCTTCACAACTGATCAGCTGTGGCTCATGTTCAAAGTCTTGGGGGGAAAAACATCATCACTGTAAATGAGTTAAAATTGAAACATAATGCATTTGGGAGTTTGAACAAGTTGACAGAATGCACGACAGCATGAGCAGGTCAACAAGACTACTTTGATGTATATGTTTGGTTGATCTTCTGAATTTTTGGTGATACACCCAGTGCTTGGGTTAGGTGTTTCTTGAATCCATGCTTTCCTACATGAGGTGAAGGCATTTGAATTTCATCCAAATAAGCGACGATTAAAACAAGATTAAGATGCTCAAATCCAACCTCTTCCCTGCTCACTGTGTGGTCTGACAGATCCGGCTTCAGGGTTTCTCATTCTTCTGGTGCAGTTGAGGTCGGGATCGATCGAACCCGCATGTTTCTGAGCAAAAGTGGACAAATCATATACTCAATGTCCCATGCCTGAGGTTCTGGAATTTCGCCTCAAAGCGTCACACCAATGATCTGGAAGAATGATTAAATTTCCATGGTCAATCAAAGAAAACGATCCAAAAGGAATCCAAGATCTGAAGTTGACTGTCGCCATTTAGGTCCCCATGGTCCATTTTGGTGTTTGCAGGTCCAAACAAGCTGCTGTACCAAGGTTTCCAGATGATGACGGTGGAACTTGTGGATTAGATATATATTTATCAATGCTGCAAATATAGGTATCCACATATGCCATGCATAGGTGACGAAGTCCAATCCATCCAATCCATGGGTACGGATCAGCTGTTGGATCCACGTGATGAGCGTTTCGGACCAAGCTCTGGGCTGTCATTGACCTCGGCGCTTGCCGCCGCCAAACACGGGGCAGGTCACGCTGGTGATGAGGAAGTGTCGCCATTGATCGGAAAGGGGGAGACAGAACATCAACCGCTTCAAAATGTAATTGTAGAAGCTTTGCTTCAGCAAAAACACACATATATGCAGAGGTAGGATTAATGAACCCCCCTAGTCAAACCGAGCTCACAAAGCCTCTCAAATTCACCCAAATTGAAAGTAGTATTGGAGCTAAATTCCCCCCTAATAGTGTACTTGTCATCTAGAACCCCCCCCAATTAAACCGAGCCAGACAACCCAGAAAATAGAGTTATTTGTTTTTTATTAGAAACCCTGGGTATCAACCTTCATGGTCTAATGGCCTCATAGCATATTATTCAGGGGGAGTGGACCTCATGAATGGTAACCTCAGACCTTCTGGACCTTGTTGACCTTCTATGTGGGGAGGGGGGCGGTTTATTAATCCGGGTTTGCATTATTCATGAACCACAAATTTGGCCCACTTTGTCAAATTTCTGTATGCGATCTGACTCAGGTGTGGTCTTATGATGTCTTACATGTCTGACGTACTACTTCGACCCAACCAATGAGTCTCTTTTACCTTGGTGACCTCCAGCTATATATGTATAGTCGCACATGCGGCTATTCCCAAAGATGTAGTCATCAATAGACAGCCAACGGCTAAAAGAAATTATGACAAACCACAAACAAATGGACGAAATGGGGGATGAACTATGATGAACTTGTCCAATTGGGGGTTCTACCAATTATCTTCATGCATTTGTCTCATCCAACGTACCATCCTGGCTGCTTTTAAAAAGGTCCGACTCGGGTCTGGGGGACCCTGGATGGAGTCTCTGAGCTGGCGACCTGTGCAGGAACCTCGATGATCTCTGGATCGGAACTAAGGTCCTCCTGCAAGATCTGGCAGAGGAACCTCTGGGGTTTTCACTCCACATCATCTCCAAGTGAGCCATACGCCTACGCTCCCACGGATGAATGTGGCTCCAACTAAGTTGTAAACAAAGATCGTTTTGCAAGGCCTTGCCTGGAGTGTAAAGCCAGGTAAGCTTTTCGAAAAAAAGAAACAAAACAGGGGCTCAGACGACAGTGTCAAATCACATAAATTTCAAGAAACACATCTACAAGGTGTGGCGAACCAGGTGTACTATTCATTGTAAACAATGATGGATACAAACCTTCACATAAAGCCAACGAGCATGGCTGGGTGTTAGATCTTTGGAGTTGGACCAGCATGTTGACAAGCACACGCATGTTGACATATGTCTCGAAGCATGTGAATGCCCTTCCCTAAAGGACGCCTAAAGGACGCTATTGAGCTATTGACATGAACTGCCAGCCCTTCCCTAAGCGTGAGGCCTTGCATGTTTCCATAGCCGGATGTGATTTGTGACTATACTTTGCATATGATAGATCCACTGCACAAACACCGCAGAGCAATTCAACAATCAACAATGAACAGGGCAAACATGTGGTTCACTCAGCTTCAAATACCCACTGGACCTGAGTTGCGCCTCTCCAAAGCCAGAATGCAAAACAGCGGGTGCAAAGGAGAGGGCCCGACCTAGCCCTATGCCTAAATGTCGAATGGAAGCCCCATTGGTCAGGTGCGTCATATTTGAATAGATTCATGATGGATTCATATGACATATGTGTATATATATATACACAAATATATACAGTACATTACAGTACAGTATATATAGATTCCAGTACTATAGTTTTAAGGAATGAAAGAAACTCACAAAAATATCCCTATATACACCGTGACCTTCGCTACTTAAGAACAAGAAGTCACCCAAACCGAAACCACAACCACGCCGGTCGCCGCTTACATCGACCCCTGTCCGAACAAATACAAACCGAAAACACCGGGTCCGTCGCGGAACCGGCCACTGACACCTTTCGGACGTGCGGCGGAGCAGCGACGGAGCGGCGAGTTCGAGATGTCTCCGTCTCCTTCGATGAGGTTTTCGGACATCGTCTTGGCTTGGCAGCGAACTTGCGGCCCTGCCGGCTCGCACGGCTCGCGTGCGGCTCGCGCGGCTCACAGCGCACGGTGCTTCGGGTGGGGTGGAACCCCCCACCTGGGGGATGTTCGGGAGAAAAGCAACATACATTTGGACCAAACAATCAAGGTTTAGGATTGAAATGCCTTGGTCTTGCTTGAACCAACTGATGTTGTCATGTTCAGTGCGGTTCATTCTATGGACAATGTACAACAAAGACTTGTGGAGAATTTTCACCAAAACAGGTGAAGTGCGCGTTTTCTGGGCCGGGGCCGGAATTGAGCGGGGCCGCTCATTGTTCCAAGTACGAACCATCGTCGGACCGTCTTGTCGGCGCAGTCTCGGAGCCGTCTCGTCCGGCCTGCCGATCGGTGTCACGTGGAGGTTCCTGACGTCCGGCGATGCGACAACGTCAAGATCTGACATGTCACGTGTGAGACTGCCACGGCTGCAACAGTGAATATGCACAGACCATCCATGTATGGAATAGCTATTCGGGATCATTATATCAAGGTTATATATATAAGGTTAATGTATGACAATTTCATTGGGGAGCTCTAAGCACAAATGACAAATTGTCACAATCCAAAATGAAAAAGTCCATGGTCCTGCTCAAAGACTGGCAAATAGAAAGCTGCTATAAGGTGTGCAACAAACCACCTAAGAGTCATAAGGCTGAAACATGTTGACCATCTGTGGTAATCTACCATTTTCATGTCTGGCCATCGTGAGCTCTTCTTCACATGGCGACATCTGCACCAAATGGTTTTGCCCGAGCAGTACAGTAGACAGTTCACATGTGTCCACCATACGTAGGAGTAGAAGAATCACACGTCAAGAATCGTCAAGATACATAAAGATAAGAACACGTGACAGACTTGATGGGACATGTGGATCGACATGGGAGCTCCGAAGATGTAGAAGTGACGCTATTACACATCTGGTCCTTTTCTTCCCTCTAGTAGACTCGTGGTTGATTTTACTCTTGACAAAAGTTGTATTGGGTTTCTTCCACGTCTACTACTCCAAAAATCAAATACAACTACATCTGACCAAGTTCTTCTTCCCTCTTGGCAGAGATTCATGGCCCAAACCCGCGGAGATTCGTGGTGCGAGGGACCTGCTGGAGGGGCCCGCCTTGACCTCCGCACCGCTGGAAGATAGAAAGATGACCTCTTCCTCAGATTCCTCCTGTCAACTGGCCGGCAACAACGATGTTGTGGATTCAATCAATCATGCAGAAAAGTTGTCAAGCCAAAGCTGATTTGACGCAACAGTTGGTTGCAAGAGGTGCTTCCAGTGCTTGCTACCTGCCACTAGCAAAGCCCTTGGCCCTGTGCTCCTTGTTCCAATCTCCTGTTATCTCCCACCTTCATTGTCACACCTTTCAACAAGCCGCTCACCATATCTCACCATGGCTGGTATCACCCACCACTTTCCAGCCTTGGCCGGGTATTGGTAAGTGGCCCACCTGCCGAAACCCCCACGGTCCAACGGCGGCGCTCCGGGGCAGCAGAGTAGTTCTTCTGGTTCGAAGACAGTTGCGTGAGGATGCTCCCCGGAAAAAAAATAAGCCTTCCATTGGATCAAAACCCCCGCAGGGCCAATACCTTCTGAGGCAAAAGCAAGTCCGATTTGGATGCAGGTGTTGGGCGCGTTTTTGGCGCACAGGGGGACTTTTGCTAGGTCAAGCATCAATGTCCTTCACTGCAACTCAGCAGAGTAGTAAGTTGTTCTAAAAACACAAAAAGTTGCCAAAGCAAATTTGATACATCAACCGTAAGTTCATCGCTGTGTGAGAGATTGAGATGTCCATGCAATATTGGAACGTCAAAATACCTCTGGAAAAACATTAATTGAATTGATGAACACCTTGTCCCAACCATTATGTTTCGGTCATCCTTACTTATTAAAGCAGGGGAAGTGCCGCCAACTTCGGAGATTCGAAGCCTTGCGAATCGGGACATATCGCGACAAAGTCCGAGCCTCAAATTCGTGGCACGCGGCATGCGCTAACCTCAGTGGCTTGTCCTTCGGTCACGAGTTCAGTCGTGCTCACAAAAAATTGTCATGAAGGACTTGTGCACGTGGTCAAACCCTTTGGGACATTCCAAGAAATAGTGGTCAACGGCACAACCACTCCTGAACAAGAACAGAGTCTCCCGAACCTGACTAGAAACACGAACCGTTGGTCCGGCAGGCCGTCGCCCAGGCAGCAGCCGAAAAAACACAAACCTTGAAACCAATGTGTTTCATGATGTTTCATGTATCCCAAACGCTCCATGGGACTGCCATATATGCCGATCAATTGGGGTGGTGCCAGGGGGGTCAATGTAGGCATATATTCCAGTCCCCTGGAGTGTATGGGTATAGTGATATAGTGAGTAGGTAGATCCACAAATGAACCATGTCTTCCAGATGTGCTGGGAATTTCAGCACTGGCTGTATCGGCAATGTATCGGCACTGAGTTCCAGGCTCAACAGTTACATTGGCAGAGCAAAGCCATGCACGATCGCTCCAATGACACCGTGTTGCTTTCGTGTCTTGGAATCCTGATCAATTTGTTTGTCTGCAGCATGTCTGTCGTATCTTCAGGTCTTGAAATTCGGGCTCTGCAAAATCTGATCCTAGTTTCAAAGTCTCACATGTCATATGCCCTGAAAATCTCTGAGCTCTGTTTCAAAGCTCTGAATCACTTGCCGCTTTTCAGGGAGTTGCTGATTCTGAGTTGCCGTTTCACAGGACGACGCAGTACAGTTAGGCCAACGGTTGAAGAGCTCGGCATCCTACCTACAACACCAGCTGCCTGGGAGCCAATGTTGCAAGATTCACATGCTAGCAATAAAAGCTAGTGCTGGCGCCCCAGCGAGAGAACTGCCAAACTGCCAGGAAATAAATGTGATAGCGTCCCTTAAAATCTCGTGAATTATCCATTAGAGCAATGACACATCTTCATGTATTTGTTGTTTAATGTTGAATATACAGTAATGAACCATGAGTCAATCATAATCTGCTTTGTTGGCCTGCCAGGATTTTGCAATATACTACGTTTAATTTAGCCAGCATCCAAACCCCAAAATGGATAAACAAAAAATTAAGTTATAAACATGAGACAATAATAATCAGTTTTTTTCTCTCAGATCCCTGCTGTTCCTTTGTCCTGCTCCTGTTCCTTTCCTTCTTGTTCTTTGTGGACTATTTTTTATATCTCTGCCCATTAGATTTCCAAAGCCTTTGGCTAGCCAAAAACGTCAGGTTTCTTTATGCAAACCCTATCAAACAAATACAAATACAAACATATACAAACCATTACAAACCCGTTATCTTCAAAGGGTACCCCTTTAGACTCCTACACCCTGCAATCATAAACCAACCTACAATAATCAACCCCCCTGCAGCCTTGCTGGCTTGTTAGTTATCTTGTGCTTTCCCTCTTGTAATTTCTCCTATCTTTGTCCTGCTCCCTGATCCCTTTCTTGTTGTTCTTTCGAAAGCAACTGAAAGCAACATGAAAGCAAATGAAAGCAAATGGCCTGGATGCTTACAATTGAGATTGAGATCTTTGACCTCCAAAAAATAGAACATTCTGTTCATAGGGGGAGGGGGGGTGTACTATGGTTTACTATTGTGTAATGAACACTACTGGAGCAACAAAACGCATCCTCACCTGACCCGCCCCGGCACCGACGTGACGTTCGACGTCGCCAGGCTCAGGCCGGTGAGGCCCAGGCATCGATTCGAGAACAATATCTCTGCTGCCCTTTTTTTCCGACATCAACAATGGATCTTGATTGGACCAAGAACACTATCCGCGACTGACTGCTGAGTGAAACCTGTCGAATCTTCAGTACATCCGTGGAGGCGGATAGTTTGTTTCGTGCTCGCCTTGGCTCCGCAAATTCTAGGCAACCCAGCAAGCAGCCGGCAGGCCCGGCAGGCGTCTGGTCTTCGGAAAATCTGGGGCAAACCCAACCGATGGATGTCTTTTGAGACACCACATGTCATGTTGCTATAGCAAGGCAAAATGGTTCGTGCTGACAGGTAGCGCGCATTGATGCAAACACCAATGATGTGATTTCATTCACCGAACAACATCGGTCGGAAGACTCTTCGCCCGTCCGAGTCCGATACACACACACACACTGAATAGGCAGCTCAAAAGCACCAGTGTAGCAGCATGTGCTTACCCCCTTTTCCACCGTCTACCATTGGAATCCCCTGAAGAAACTCGGCACCCGGCTGCCGAAGATCGGGTGTTCTCCTGCAACCAAGCATAGGCGTCCGGATCAATCCTATAGGACATGATATTGATTGTCATTTGCGGCGTACCATCCTGAGACACTGGATCTCTTGGCTCCAATTCTCAAGACCAAAAGAAACCGCTCGCGAACCACCAAAAGGTCCTGTTCGCGACCGGTCCACTTTGGCTTGAGATTGTATTCCCCTAGACTCCCTACACCCTTCATTCGGGGTATGCTCAGAACACGATCCTATCACCCTCAGTTCCTTCTTATGAGCGCTCCAGAGACATCAAACAGAAAACAACACGATTCCCGATGATACGCTGTCAATTGCACGGTTGAAACTTGTGAACCAATAACCCAGAGCACCCAAAGCACCTAGACATATACTGTATATATAAATACATGCAGTATATCGTTTGGGAGTCGGGAGCCTTCAATCAAGACCAGAAGGTGTTCATCCAGAAACCGTCTGCAAAGAAACTCCTGCAAAGACCAGGACTTCATGACGCCACTCTTTATATACCATGATTTCGTCATGCTTCAGGTGTCATCTGCTGGTTCGTAGTTTGCACTGCTCCACCATGACCCGTGGCGCCTCCAACAGGAACAGCGCCATACTGTGCGCTCCTCATACCTGCAAAGCTCATTTACTCGTCAAAGGTCCAGCGTTGACCGCGGGAACCCACAATGAACAGTACTCCTTGCAGGAAGAATATGGTTTTGGAGGTACACCCCGACTCACCAATATGGAAGTGGAACATCACCTCTTTGTAGAGGAACCTAGTCTTCCCGAAGACCATCTGGATTCCGAAGTACCTCTGTCGGAGTGTATGGTAGAAATTCAGAATGAGGATGTCCTAGTCCTCCACAGGATCATCATGAATCATCTGTAGTATCACCAACCCCGTTTTTTCCGTCCGGAACATACGTCAAGCTTCACCGAACCGTCCACCAGTTCCTGTGAAATCGGGGGCCGCCAGTGACCAGTTTTAAGGATCCTTCCGATTGAACATGTCGCGCCAACATCCAAGAAAACACACCCAAAGCCGCGGACAAACGTGGACACGCGACCAAGCTCTATAGAGTGACTCCAATGAGCTGGGGTCTTCGGTTTGTGAAACGACGATGTCCCGCGTGCCCACTGGAAGCTTCTTAGGGTCGCACTTTGCTTCAAGGGTTCCTGAGGATTCCACAAGAAGACCTTGTCCTCACGGCCACGGAAAAAAACAGTGCACTTGTGTGCAAAGTTTATCGTTTGCCTGCGTGTTGCAGTGGATTGTTTGGTTCGGTTTAGCCTCAAACTCCAACTATGGAATGACAATCCCTGATTGTTTGGTCCATAATGGCCCAAAACCATTCAACCATCGTCCACTTTACGCGTTCGTGACCTGTGTTATCCGCAGCAAACAAACATCGATCTGCGCAAAGACTGATCTGCGCCGTGCAAAACACCGCTCCTGACCAATCACCAGGTCCTCGAGCGCTGGAGCATGGATGCCCACACGCAACTCCTGCCGGATGCGGAGTTAAGAGTTGTTTTCGGTCCTGTAGGATGCGCGTTTTTTCTGGTCGATGACCTCGTTCAGCGGAAGGGCAGAGATTTCATGTGAACAATCCCACCTCGATGTCCAACCAAGTGTTGTCAGACCCGACCCGAGAGCAAATCCCAATCGAACACTCACTGCATGCATGAACAACCAAGCACACATGACAAATTTTGGAAGAGCGAACATAGCGATCTAGCAACAATTGCTGAGTGCCTGTCTTAGCCTTCACACCATCAAACTGGCAAAGTTTCAGTCCTCACAGAACGACCAAATGCACCACAAGGCATAGGTCTGCAAGGCAGGAGCAAGCACATTGCCAAAACAAATCCAGCCCAGCTGGCATAGTGTCTCAAACATGTCGCAGCCAGGTCGACGGTCTGAACCATTTATATAAGACATTGGTCATCGGAACACATATGACTCATATACGCTAATATATAGCTTCTCCAACATAGCTTCAATTATAAACCATGGTAAAGCATGATAAAGCCCCTTGCATTAAATGGGCTTTGACACGTTTCCCAAAAATCTTAAAGCATAAACGTACATAGCTGACTTGACCTTTCGACTGGCTCAAAATTATTTACAGAAATAAGGAGCGTCGTCCTATACGTGTACTTTTGCTTGTGATGGCCACGAGTGAGAAACACAATCACAAGCATTGAAGACATCCAAAGCGTTCCTCACACAGATATATGATGCAAAATGAAAGAAAACGCCGGAAGGCGTGACCGTTTGGATTTGAAGCTGTGTTTATTACCACTACAGTCGGTACATGCGATTGTCTGATTTCGTTCTCTTCTTGCGCTTGACGCCATAGTCATGCTTTGCCGCAGCAAGTTTGTCAGCGTTACTGTAGTGTTGTTTCACCTTCCATGGCACAGCGCTTGACGGAAGAGGAGACCTTCACGGTCATCGGCGAGTCAGTAATCGCGAATGAGCCGGATGCCGCGGACGAGATGTTGATGCATTTCGCCGATGACTTGGTTAAGATTATTGCAGATGAGTTGGTCAAGGCAGGTGGCTTCGCTTCTGCTGTCTTGGTGTGAACCTGTGTCTTGGTGACAAAGTGCGTAGTGAGTAGTGGCTGGAAAACATAGCCTACTTCAGTCTCATATGATAATTTGGGGACTCAAGAGGCCAGACCTTGCTCCGCCTGTTGCTTTGAGGCTTTGCCAGGTGTGTGTAGAATGTTTTTGACTTGTTGGTGGGTCTCTGGTAGCTTCTTGACGACAATGTTGTCGGCTGATTAAGCTGAATTTCATGTGCGGAACACAGGAAATTATAGATTGTCCAAAACGTCGGGTCAGAAAAAAACAGGAGGCCAATCTCGAGAACCAATCCAATGACACCACCCCAACAATTCAATAATCCAACATGTGCCCTGAAAATGGATCCACCAAATTTGACATAAATTAGTTGCCTCGTTCTGTACACTTTCTACAAACCAACTTTCCAACTTCGTCTGCGGTCGTCTCACCTGAGGCAGCACGGTCAAAGCCACCAAAAGGTAGGCGCCACTGGTGTGCGGAGAGGCACCGCAGGGGATGGAACGCGGTGCCGAGCCCCACGTGGATCCAATCAGTTTGGATGTCCATTTCATGGATTGCTGGGACATGTGGCACGCTGCCATGTCAGCATAGAGACGTCAGTATATGCTCCCTACTGCTTTGACAAATTGAAGTTATCAGAATCACAATGAATCACACATATGCCCCAATGCGTTCTTGCATCTAGCCTACATGATCTTATCTTACATGTGCCTCAAACCTGGAACTATATACAAGTACAGTATAGAATTTGGTATCCCGGGGGGCAGGTCCAAGAATGTCTTTCCGTCGCGTGCCTGCACAGCAAAAGAGTTGCAGAATGCAAAACGTGTTTGGCTCTTGGGCAGCAATCCCAATTGTCATTTTCTCAGCCATCGAAAGTTGTTGCCTCTTGGAATGATTGGTATCTGTCGGCTCCGTCACCTTTATGTCTCAGGATTGTATTTTCAGGAGTATGACAAGTTGCACGCAAGCAGTGGTTTCAACAGATTCCAAATTTAAAGGGCTTCAAGGCTTGAAAAGAAAAAGTCAACATACAAACAAACCGTCCAGCAGTGGTTGCATCCTCCAAGCAGTCCACTTGAAAAATCCCTGTCTGACTCCATGCTAGGTTTAAAAAAAGAAAAGCTCAGAATCGTCTGAAGTTGGACATGAAGTTGGACATCCCAGAACGAACACCTAAAAGAGACCAACAACAAGGAGCAACAAAGGAGACCTGTCGAGTCCCCGACTTCCTCCCAACCATAAGGGGGTACTCCACCGAGGCACAACTGCACTCGGTCCCCCCAATGCAAGGAAAAAGAAACACACACCAACAACCAAAAAACTGATTAGTGAACTGAGTTCAGGCAAAAATACAGCACATTATAGCACATTCCTCCCCTTTCATTTCATCCTGACCAAGGAACATCCGAACGATGCCACACGAGAAGGCGTCACCGTAGGTCTTCGCCAGTTCGCCTCGGGTTCGGTCCAAGCCGTCGGCGGGATCCGGTCCATGCAACATTCGTGGTTCCCAGGGGTGGTTTTGAGTGGGAATGATTGCAAGAACACACTTATAACTTATATAGTCGTCTAAGTAGATGTAAATGTAAAGTTTCTTTTTTTATATTGGACGAACGATGTGTTTTGTTTGGAAAGAGGTATGAAGAGGCAATCTTCTGAAGAGTTAGTACTCCAGGGTTCACAAAGGTTCTAGGATTGTGAAATTCAGTCTATGCAATTCATATATATGTTAAGTTCTTTTGGTACATGTGAACGAATTTCAGCTAGCTCGCAGCGGCTAGACCCACGGAAAGGACCCCGATCCCTCACAGACTTCTTGTGACTCCTACGGTTACTGCGAAGGACAATCATGAGGTGCTGCTAAAGAATTTCCTAGAATAGGGTTCAAGACCAACACCACAAACGAATCTCCTCTTTTGCCACGGCCTTGGAGGAACACCTGAGTGATTCAAAACATGTACTTTGGCCAAAAGGGTTTGATGTACAGGTAATTCTCTGTAACTTCTGCGCACCTCGATGAACCAATAAGTGTCCATCCCCCAAGCAAGCACTCTCAGGGCTGTGACCTTGCAGGGCTGCCGCTGTCATGCAAGGATCCTGCTGGGCGTCTTGGCTTGCGGTGTGACAAGCTGGAAGCTTACAACTAAGGATGTTTCCCATGAAGGTCACCAATCAGTAGAAAATGGTGCTTGAGGGCAGCTTCTTCTGTGAACCATCCAGGACAGAACCTGGATCTCTCTGTCTTGCTTGATTTCCACCAAACTAGTTCTCCGGGTAACCTGTGACCACGTCTACCGCCAGAAGCATGGGTAGCTCTTTGACTCATACTGATATGTATATATAAAGTACCGCGACAGGACAAATTCGGACATCATAGGAGTTTGTCGCACTACAGTATAATCATTCATACACGGTGCTCCTCCGCAAATGAACGCTATTCGTACCCTGATATATATATATACTCATGAACCCCTACCGCTCTGCCACAAAATGCAAACAGGCCCCGAGGGGGGACCGCGTCGTGTAAAACAAGGGCAGCAAGGCCAACAGGCGTGACTGTTTGTCCCTGCGGCAAACAAAAAAAGCCTTTAATCTTAACATATCTTGACACATATACAGAAGGGCAACACACAGTATGTATGCTCATTGCATGTCAGCTAGTTTCCTGACGTTCTCTTTCCTTCCCCTCTTTTCAGGTTCTGGAACCATCTCCGGTGAAGAGTTCCACCCAATGGCACCTTCACCAGCACTCCCCAGGAAAGCAACCCCGTGACCACCTGGCACGGCGAAGCAGCATTAAAACACAGTTGCCTGGAATGCTTGGGATAAAGGCCCTTGAACATTTTGAGAAGAGCAAATCACGCGTCAAACATCAAACAACCAGGAAGAGGATGGAAAAGGAATGGATTGGTAGACCGTGATGGTCAGAAGACATTAATGGTCGAACTCGTAGGACGACCATCATCTGCCATCTACTTTCACCTCTATGGGATTGATCCGATACCAAAAAACAACACAACCACCGACTTTGCCAAGCAATAAACTCACTATTGACTCAATATATGATGTATATATGGTTGCGTCTTTCCAGCAAAGGTGTCTAGAGATCTCTCCATTTCTGACACAAAAGCGTCGAAGATCCTCTCTTATAGCCAAGCAGTCTAGATTTCCAGTTTGGGCAGCACAAACTGCTGGACTCGCTCTGACTTTCCCATCAGGGTCCCCCCCGAGGTGGTGACTCCAAGTGACGCTTCACGACCAGTCCAGAAACAAGCAGGGAAGGGAAGAACATAGCCGCGGCACTCCACTGACTTGTATTCTTTTTGGGCGCTGTACAGCGGCACAACGCTGTATCCGTATGCCTTGGGTGGTAGGCAACTGGAGGCCTGACCGCTAGGATCTGTACACAAAGAATTGCGGGCTTAATTCGAGCGAGATGTGTCGAAGAGGTGCTTTCACAGCTGTAACTAATTGTCACGATGTCGGAACTGCATGGTCACCTCTATTCTGTGCAGCAATTTGTGGTTATCTATATGATGTGTATTCTACACGATGGCTATATGCTGAGTCATTGAGCCTTGAACTATCTTGCACTGGCCAGGAGATTGTGATACAAATAAAGGAAAGCATGTCAAACGCGCTTGACCGGGCAAACAAGGTAGGGACGGATTGAAGCTCGGAGGTCAAGAGATCATTTAAGCAGTTGCTGTTGCCCTCTTGTGCCTACTTTGCTTTGGCAAGTTGCTTCGAACCTCCTGCATAGTCAGGTGGCCATGGACCATCACATCGAAACAAACAACATCTCACTTCACTGTGCAATGGACACGTGCCCCGCGCACATCAGAACAATTTCAATGGAAAAGGGATTGATGTGCGCCGTCCTTGCAACTACTAGGTGCAGAATTGGCCAGGTCTTTATTAAGACTCTTGTAAAAGAATCATTCCGCAAACTGAGTCCAAACAAAAACTGTTCGCTCTTCGCCAATCAACCAATGAATGCAGTTTCTTATTCTTTCTGGTGGATTGGCGAAGAGGAATGAGACCTGGCCTGCTTTGCTCAGTCAAATGCTGAGTGATCGGTGCACTTGGATTGTGCTCAGCGTGCCATGCGGCTGCCTCTTTAAAAGGTCCCAGCAAAGCCCAGCAAAGCAACCTGGGTTTCGGCGTTCGGTTCCAGCGCTCGAGCCACAGGGAATCACATGTGGATCCTATGCCATTGTGGCAATGACTTACCGCAGTTAGCTTGCTGCCGGAAACCCGGAGTTGTTAAAAAAGGGCAAGTTAATATATTTAAGGCAATGTATATCAATTAATCTGATCCAAGGAACGAATTGTAGAACTGGTCACAATGATGATTTGACATCTTAAAGGAAAGTATCATCTCGGCATAGCACATGAAACATCCCGTCATTGTCTACTTGCCAATATCCATGACATGTGTGAGAACATGTTCAACATATTGAAACACATCAACATCTAAAGACGAGTCGCTTGCGCTGGCGATCAGCCCAAGGTATTTTCAGCACCAAATCTGCCAAAGGATGTTCCACCAGGGGGAATGCAAAGACTGTCAATGATAACCTTTACGTTGGGAAACATTAAAGGCAATTATATAAATTGTGCGCATCCTTTACCATTTCTGTGCTATCATTTCTGACACCTCACCAAATCTTTGAAGGCTGATTGATGGTAGTGAAGTCAAAGGGTCTTTTGTCAAAGGTCTTTTGTTCTCTCATGAAAACCCCCAAGCGAAAACCAAATCTCACATCATCAAGAGCTCCTTCCAGCCCCTTCGCGAGCTTTCCCTGTCCAGCTCTTGGTCCAGTCCCTCGTCCTTCGATCCCGGTCGACCAGCGTCGCATCCCGCGCGCGGGAGCTCGCGCGCCGGAGCTCGCGGAACGCGACGGGGGCTGCCTTATGTACAAAAAGCCATCGGGCTGTCGAAATTGCTCGTACAACTGCGACATGGGTGTGCTCGTCTTCGGCGTGATGCCATTGATGAAGAGGTAGATCCTGGGTGGAGTGAGAGAAAAGCCGATGGCTTTGACAAGCAGCTTACAGTTTGAGAACAGGGGACTTAGCCTGGCCTGGAGTGGATATATAGTATTTCATAATACATAGTCATTGACATGTGCTTCTTGGTGATTCTTGGCTCGAAGACGTCTCGTCCCCCAAAAACTTCACAAAAAGTGACTCTCTGGCCATCCGTCTGCACACTCTCATTGTCTCGTCCAGTTCCGGAGAGTGGTGAAGGAGATCATGCACACCATACAGCGATGTGGAGCGGGTCTTTTCCTAAACCGATCGACACGGACCCGCTCCAACCACGGGGACTTCCCGACCAACCACAGCCTCCCCGTTCTCTTCAAAACACCATCCGCTGCCAACTAGGATTCGACCACCCCCCTGACACCCCCAAAAAGATGCGACCCTATAAGGACCTTACTGCTCCGTGTGCGTGCCAAAGTGACTGGACACCCTTCAACCGGTTCCAAAACCCCTCCAGAACCAGACCCAAGACTCGAGACACAACAACATTACGATCTGATACCCCCCAAAAAATGCACGTAGTTGTATACCAACAAAACGGTTCAACCGCTTCCTTAGCACTTCGCCTCCGCTCCAAATGCTTCGCCCCGTTCGAACGGCCCGTCACAGGCGAGCCACGTCTGGTCCACGCTCAGCCGTTCCGGCGTCGCGTCGGCGATTTGCTTGTGGACCTGCAAGGAGGAAGCGGCCTTTCATTAATGCAAATGATATAAGTCATCCAACCTAATAGCTTCTTGCTCCTAGTAGTACGGCCAGGAGCCCCCATTTGTAGCGTCCTTGCTCCTAATGCCAGGAGCCCCTAGTAGCGAACATCGTTCCTTTTGATGGCAAAGGAGTGAAAAAGGAGTCCAAAGCAACATGCTGTTGTGTCTAGAGATAGGACAGATCCGGCGCAAGTACCTCCCGCCTCTCGACCAAGCATATTGATTCTCATATATCGAACAAACAACAATGAAGAATATGAAAAGCCCCTTTGGAGGTTGTTTCTGCTGGACACCAAACAATGCAGGAGTTTTACAAGACCTCCTTGGATTAGTAAAGCAGTTTGTCTTTCCTAGGACTTTGTCTTGCCAAAAAGTGGATAATGGAATATGCGGGTATCGATTGCAACAGGAAAGCCCCTGAACCAATGGGGTCTCCCTTATTTTGACTCAAAATATAACATTCTAATTTATCGGGGAAGAACAACTCATCGTCATATATGCTGAATTGCAAAGATACACATGGTGGGAAGGCGGTACAGCGACCCGTTAGCCAACATAGATATTGGCACGGTGTCCAATGCATTACTATTGAAGAGATTGACCTCTATCTATTTTGGAGTGTCCACGACAAGTCGTGAGAATGGCGGTTCACGTTATTTCAAACGTAGGCAAAAACTGCTTTCGGAGGATGCGTGAGGCATCCGTGGTTCCAGTGCAGGTTTCCTGGGAGCGGGTGGTTGGGTTGCTCTTGCTGCCTTGGTAGACATAAAAGAGTAAGACCCATAAGACCAAAGCAAATCCAAGCCACCATGTACTTGAATTCGCCACAAAGCATATTTCCATGTACGACGAACCTCAGATCAAAGCTGCTGAGCGCCGCTTTCCGCAATGTTGGGGACAAAGGCACTAGTTATTATCACGATAGAAATTCTGTTGATCGGTCATTTGTTGGGGGTGTCTCATGATTGGTCCCTGTCCAATTATTTTGGCTTTATCGATGCATTTGTGTTTCTTCTTCCAGAGGTGCAGCACACCTATGAATTCATTGTGCTTTTCTCTCTCCAAGCTATATTGCAGCTAGAAACCCAAAGGTGCTGTGTACGCCTGAAGGCTGAAAAGTTGCGAGGGGAGTCTACTGCGTGGAGAACATTGACATACTGTCTTATGACAAACCATCTGCATGATTACATGTTTACCCTTTCTCCCATCATATATGGTTGGTTCATGCATTCTGGCTTCTAGTTATATTATAGTTTTTGGACCACACACCTTCTAATTTCAGCTGACACCTCTAGCTTCAGCCGAGGTGCTTCTTTTTCGGCAACTCCTGAGCCGTGCGGTGCATGGGGCTCGCGGTGAACATCTGGATCCCATCCATCAACTTTGCGCGAGCTTGCTATTCTGGATTTCTGGGTTAGGGGACCACCCAAGTTCAGACACTGTGGCCAGCTGGCCACAGGTGAAAATACCACTTCGCAAGTCCGTTCTGGAAGGAATCAGCAAAGTCCACAGAAAGCTGGACGCTCTATGATGTCCAACACAAGGAGATCAAACCAGTTGACTTCACACGAACAAGAATACATCATATAACCCAAGGCCTAGAAGCAAGTGGCACAAAGCTTGGTTTATTTTTAAGCATCGCCCAATGATGAAAGTACGTTATACTTTGCCACACAATCTAAAACACAAGAACCCGGTCACCTACCGCTCATAGGCAGGTTACATGACTCTGTAACTACAAAAAGTCAAAACGTAACATGACCCCTGTTTTTAGCGGAAAGGGCCATAGTTTGGGTGGTTGGTGCTCCAAAATAAAGGTCACCTACATAAAGCTGCAAGAAAAGGAACCGATGCTCCAAAACCACCAGGGTTGGGGTGGTTCATGGACACAAAAGGCCTATTCAAACAGACAACCCAAACGGCCCTCGCGGCACCAGTGCCGCCCTTCACGTCGAGCCGCCGGTAGCGTGGACCGCGCGGACCTCTCGCAAATGACTGGGACTCGATCGGGATACCTGGGACGG